ACGAGCGCCGATCCGTCCGCAACCCTAATCGTTCAACTGCCAAAGGTCGTAAAGTTTTTACGGAGCGACCGTGGTTGATTCTTTACGAAGGTCGGAGAAGCCGTACGATGTAACTCGCCGGCGTATGTGCAGTGTACTGTGGGTTGGTGTTGTGGTGGTGAGGGGGGGTTGCAGTGCATGAAGGTAAGACACGTGCCACAGGGCAGTTAAGAAGGGGGTATGTTCTGAAAGTTAACCGGCTGGTCGAGGCGGAATGGAGAAGGGTAGGTTCATAAGCGCTAATGGCTTGTTTGGTCCGTGAGGAGGGGGTGAGTGCATTGAAGGTACAGCTGTCGTGGTGTGGTAGAGGAGGGGATACGTCATTGAGGTTAACAGCCTGTTGTTGGATAAACCAGAGGGGTAAGTGCATTGAAGTATAGCCGTTGTGGATAGAGAGAAAGTAAGTGCATGAAGGAACAGCCGTTGTCGCGTGCGTATGGGTGAGAGAAGTGCATTAAAAGTAACAGGCCTGTTGTTTGGTGCTGTATGCGAGGGGGTAAATTCGTTGAAGTAACAGCCTGTTGCGGTGCGGTAGTTAAGTGGGTAAGTGCATTGAAAGTAATTGCTTTTGTGGTGCGTGGAGGTGGAATGGGGGGGTAAAGTGCATTAAAGGTAACAGCGTTACACTGCGTGGCTTTAGTGGCTGTGTGGTTTGACGATGCTAACTTGAACATGACATGATGCGTGGCCACCGCGAACCGATCTACAATTAAACCTCGTTTAGTGCCGAGGGCGAGACGGGCGGTGAGTATTTTGTTCAGATAACTGAATGTCTAGTGCATATTAAATATTCACTGGGACTCTTGAGATCGGCATTAAATCCGGAAATTCAGATAAATTGATGTTGGATAACCGAGGGTTTCACTGTACTGTCCACCTGCTGCTGGCCCGTGGCTGGAGTGTAAACTAGTCGCGCCTGTAGCTGGCAGGTGACGCGTGCCAGCATGGCTCCTATCCTGCTCGTGCTCGATGTCCAGGCACACTTCATCGCTCCCAGCATGCCATTCTCTCACAGAAATGTACGGGTCTCGCGAAGGATAAGAAGAAGAGAACGTAACAGTCTAACAGATATGAGATTCGCTGTAAGTTAACGGCGTCGACCGCGTGATTTACTACTTGACTATTGAGACTATAAGCAGGTGTAAAGGCTTAATTTTTTAGAATTTTTAGGTTAAATGACGAAAAAACGATCGATCAGGCACAATGGCGGTTCGAATAAGCATCTTCGTTCACTGTTTCAGGCCAGTCGCGGTCACCTAAACGAAAACTGCACGAAATACAGTCGCTGCAAGTCACGGTCCGTATTCCAAAAGAAAGAAGTCCAAGATCATAGTAAGATAGATCTGTTATCTTTGATTAAAATGAAACAGATCTAATGTTAAAATCATCGCTCATATTTAATCTGCTCAAGGCGATGCTAGTCAAATATTTTACCTACAAAGAAAGCAATTAAGATTTTATTTGTTTAAAATACTTATCAAGTTCTATTTGGTTTACATTAACACATCTTTTGCATATCAGCAACTAAATGTATTTCTCCGTGGTGTTGTTAGAGTTCAAAGCAGAAGTAAGGTGTACAAATTCATGTAACGTTTCCAGAATTACTTTCCTGGTAGAGCTGTATACATTATTACAACAAATTTTCTGGCAAGTTATAGTTTTTCTTTACCATATTCATATATACTATACAGGGTTTCACTCTAAAAATAGTTCAACAGAAGTGAGTTATAAATAATGCATTCGAAAGGCTAGCGGCCGATGAATTTCAACCCCTGTATCCTTTTCCACCAACTGTCAGACCATTGTCTGTGTGCGTGGGTTTCGTGTGCGACTCGAGTGCATAACCGACTCACGAGAAAGCCAAAGGTCCGCCGAAGCGTCGAACTAAAACCGAGCCAGTCTCTCCTTTTTTTTTTAAACACCTGATCAAAAACAAACTGGTGTCGGTCGCGTTTCGCCGAAATCGCGTTACCGTCGCAAAAGGGGGGGGGGCAGGGGATGCGCGCGTCGTGCAAAGCGAGGATCGGAATCGAGAACGGAGGCGGCCCGCGCGCGGCAAGGTTCTTCGCGACTGACAATAACGTCCGTTCTCTGTCTTGTTGGCAGATCGAGCGAGCCGAAGAACGCGGCGCGGAGTAGCGATGACGACGCCGCCGCCTGCCGGCGGCAGCGGGCGCGTACTGGCGACCTGCTCGCAGCCGCTCGATCTCGCATCTCCGATCCACCTTATGCAACCCGCCGCGGCGACGCTGCCGGCGCCGCCGCAGCTGAAAAACGTCCGTAGCCGCGCGGCGACGCCGGCGGCGGACTCGCACGCCGACGGGCGCCGCGTCGACAATTCGCGTGCTACCGACATCGAGTAAGGGCTCGATCGCATGAGACAACAGAAACGTCACGATCATCAAAAGAGCTTCGCGAACTCTGCGCAGACGCTGACGTCGTGGCGGAGGCTGCCGCCGAGCCGTGCCGACGCCGCAGACCCGCGTTCGCGCGGCCGCGGCGCTCTGCTCGCGGGAGGGCGAAGCGGTTGCCGACGGGCGCTGCAGTACCGTTGGCGCCGGTGGGCGCGGTCGTGTCCGAAGAGAGTAGGCGCCAGTGGAGGAGCAGGGGGCGTGCCAGCGTGGCACAGCGTGCGCCAGGAATGCGGACGCGCAGACGGCACGCAGGCCGTTGCCGGCTAACGTCGATCCGCCATTGACGACGCGGATCGACGCGGAATCACGGTCGGCAAGGAGCAGACCCACGTCGGAGGGCCCGACGGCCCCTCGTCTGGCGGTGCGGCACGGGCACACGGCGATCCAGCAGCTGCAGCAGCAGCAGCAAACGACGGTCGGACGTCGAGGAAGTACATAACGGAGATAATCGAACATCGAACGCACAGCGCGACGCACGAGATGGCGGCGGCGGCGACGTTTGCGACGACGACATCCGCAGCAGCGACCTATCCCGCACCGGCCGCTGCCGCCGGAGGCGCACACTCGAGCCCCCTACTAACCCGGCTTCCTCGGCGCACATCTAACGCCGCCGCGCAAGGAGGCGGCGCACCAGGTGCGCGCCGGCGGTCGCAGGCCCTCGACAGACCTCGCGCGTCGACACGCCGAAGTCGGAGCTGATGGGCCGTGCGCCGGCTCCGCGGCGTCCGTGACCTTGACCTGCAGGTGGCGGCGGCATGAAGAGGAGCCGGGGGCGGCGGCGTCGGCAGTTGCGATTGG